TAGAACTCTAGATCATAGAACATATGAAGAGCTCCTGTCCTGTATTTTTTCTCCTCTAAATAGCCTGTGGTCAAACAACAAGCAAAAGGATGCTTGCAACGATGTTAAATACCGTCACAGAATCTACAGTGATGAGATTTACAGAAATAAAAGAAAAGAACAAATCATTTAGCACAACTGTTGCACAAGAAGAAAAACACTTTTTCAAACTACTGGATCATTGACCACTTCAGAAACTAAGCAAGCATCGTTGGTTTCCGACATGTTACCCGGGGAATCAACAACATTAATTTCTACAAATATGCCAGAAACAGACACAACTGAATTTACAGAGAGAACAGAAAGTGTATTAAAAACACATGTTGATACAACAACGGAAATATCAGTAACAGATGCAGTAACATTAAAATCCACATTAACATCAACTTTTACGACGAAAGCATCGACATCACTAAAAAAAGCAACAGCGCTAACTAGTAAACCGACAACTGCAACGGTAATGACAACTAAAGCAAACCTGAAAACAATATACCGTCTTTTCCATCAAGTTTAACTGAAGTAAATATACAATTTATATCACAAACTACAAAATCAACAACCAACATAGAAATATCAACTGCTCAACCATCAACTTCAGAATCAACCACAATATTGGAAACTAGCACGATTAGAACAACAGAAAAACTAAATACCCTCCAGACTACAACAATAGTTGAAACTAAGTCAGCTAAAAGTACAGAAACCTCCCACCTGTAACGACATCCAGCGTGCGTTTTGGCACTACCACTTCAATTGACAAAGGAAATACCAACGACAAATCGATTCAGGCTAAAGTCAGAAACACCCACTTGACTGTTGGGGTCTCAGCTTCATTTGTGGGAATAATTATCATAATGGTAATTATAGGGCTGGTTGCTCGAAAATGTAGGAAACTGTAAATTTTTATTTTATGTAATAAATACTGTAAATCACTTTTTATCCGGGAGAACTTTATTTTCGCGTAATTACGCGAGACATTATGCTCACGAAAATTTCATTCTCGCGTTTAATAGTACTCCTTAAAGGGAACGTATGGTCAGAATTTTCATTTCTATATATATAAGTGTACCTATCATATTAAAAGAAAAACTGTATCTTATAACACTGCACTGCTGATAACAACGGTTAAATTTGATTTTGATAGCTTAATTGGAGCAGCATGGGGAAAACCTTATCATGGCCGCTGCTGACTTAGATTAGACAGATTAAATGCCAGATGGATAGAATCAATGCGTTGATGACTGCAGAGAAATAAAATTCCTTCCATAAAAAAATAAGCTAATTCAAGCAATTGTTTATTTATAGGAGAAAATATTAACACCCTCCTTGGACACATTTGAACTTTTAAAATAGTTGGAATTAAAATTAAGTAAAATATCCAACCTTTGCTGCTAAGTTTTTAATTAAAGTTAAATGCCACAAGGTGATGTTTAATTTAACAGAAATAAGAATGAGATACACCAGCGTGAAGACTTTGGACAACTAAGAAACTGGAAAGAGACCTAGCCTTGTCAGAAAAAGGATGCAACTCAACTTCTCAGTATGATTCAAATTCGATTAATTCCCACGTACCACATGTTTCTCTTCGTCATTTTAGAAGTCAGTAATTGATCGTCAAAAACACACTTAAATAGAGATAAATTCTGATTAACTTCTCTTTTATTATTTTTTTTAAGAACCTGTGAGTCCTGTTCACATGTTTCACGCTGTGTGCATTAGATTCCTTTTAGCGATTAAGAACATTGTATTTACCTAATTTTTATTTAATGACAATTATATTATTTGATATTAATGGTAGACAGTATAGCATATACATGATTTTTCCCGCATCAGTAATTTTACTTAATTACCATCAGATTTTAATTTCTATTTAATTTCAATTTTTTATTACTTTTGTAAAGGGTCAGCGGTACAACTGCATTTACGTTTGTATATGTATTTTGATAGTTTTTCATTTGCATACGTTTTTTTTAAAATTAATATTTTTTATGAATTCTTTTAGTTAATAAAAAAATCAAAATAGTTTTATACGATAACATCAAAAGTCTGTTTTTAAAACATAATGTTGATGTTTATTGTTTATAGCTTTTGTTCGATTACAACAGTTCTAATATCTACAAAATCTTGAAAATAAATACCAAAAATTAGCACCAAACTTTGAAATGTTCGTTTGTTTACCTTATGAGTATGTCTAGTTGTCCCCCACTAAAAGTGGGGGATACTAATTTTTTTGCAAAGATAGACATTTTCTATCAATTGAAAATAGGGGTTTACCTTTTTTGTTGGTTGAGACCCCCACTTTCAATTTGCTTCCGACGCCTATGGTTCTGTCTGTGCGTAAGACTTTATTTTCCACGCGATATCACGATAAGTAGGAGCTTTTCAATGAAATTTTACACAATAACTCCGAATGACCTGGGGAGGATTCATCAATGAGTTTAGACCATACATTCCCTTTACTTTTTAAGGATAAAACAGTAGAACAATCCTTTATTCCTGAACTTAAGGATATCCGATCCTCAGCCAGGATGGATAACTCCAAAAATTAATATTTAATTTGAAATGCATGAAAATGAAGCTTGAAACTGGATTTTTTCTTGCAACAATTTTTATTTTATTCATCTCTATAAGATGCAATGCCTTTTATAAGTCTTAGAAAAGGTCTTATAAAAGTTGACATTTGTACCCTATAAAAAGTGAAAAATTAAAACAGTTTTAGAGAAATAAGATTTTCTTGAATCTAGCCTTAGATATCAATGCTTATTAGCATGATATGAAATGAGGAGTGATACTTGGTGTCTTGCAGTGATAGTTAAAGCCTTTGACACTATGTATTATAGAATTCATGACGGAAATAGAAGACAAAAAATACCAAATAAGTATAAAAATCATGACAATTTCTCTGAATGCCTGGATACCTATAGTTTTTTAACCTAAAATACATTTGTTGATCAATTTGCAATTAGAAAATGCATTGCTGATATTCCAATTCGCTTTTTCTGCAAAAATATTGGAGATTTGACGATTTTTTCTTATATAATATAATTAACTTTAATCTTTAACTTTAAAGAAATACTGTGGATAAATTTACATAACCTTGCAAATTCAGAGATACCCTTATGAGTATTTTTGATTGCTTAACTTCTTATTTTATAAACCTGAGGACCGGACTACCTTAAAACAAAAAAATTTCAGTAGGAAAAAAATAAAAATAGACTAAATATCAAAAAGTTAAAAATGTTAAAACCATGAATAATTCAATCAATGAACAACGAACTGCACAAAAATATACAAATATTCATGGAAATTTAGAACAATTTTTTTTTATTTTGAAATTTCATAAATAGTCATATCATAGTCTCATTAAAATCAAACGAAATGTTACGTATATGTTAACAATCAATGTCGGTTTTAGTTTGAAAATTGCAACTCTCTGTTACAATTACACACCAATAATTTACACTTTTAGCTTAAAAATCCCTCACATACGATTCTCATGAATTATTCAATGTTAATTTTCGCTGACCTCTGATTAATATTTTAACTGTGTCTGTAGTTTCAATAAAACGTTATAATCAGAGTGAAGCATATAAAACTACGTGTGGGTAAACATATACATCTACCAGAAAATGTTATTCAGCTGAAGTTCGTGTTAGTGATCGAATTAGAAAGACGGCAATTGTGAAGATAAGAACAATGTGAAACTATAAACTTCTGATCATCATAAGAGTCTCCTTAACAGATTCCCCAGAATTAAACGTTGGATACCAAGGAGTTCCCTTACTATCCGGGGACCAGGCACCATTAAGAAAGGCACGAAAACATCGGTTGAACCACCAGCCTCCTTTATAATAAGCAGCACAGCTACCTCCAGCCCACCGATCGTCATCTCTGTCAGACGTCGTAAATTTCATCCCAGACAGACCAAAGTCAGTTGAGTCTGTGTGCAACATACTGTCACCTGGAGAAAACAAATATTATATTTTATATTATTTAAGGAATTTCTGTCTAGTTAGTATAGTATGCCAGGGACATCAAGGATAGCGGGAGACATGGGATGATATATGCATAAGTGGCTTTACATTTCATTGTAAAATAAAATTGTATTTTTAGAAAATGTAGACATATAATTCAAATTACACGAGGACTTCCCCTGCCAATTTCAACAGTACATGTACTCGGCCACTGACGTCAGACACAAAGGAAGCCGCACAAGATTTACATGCATATTTGGCCTCCTTAGCGTCAGACACAGAGAGATGCGCACGAGATATGCATGCATATAGCATATAGCTTCTGACCTATCGACCTGTCTAATTTACATTCCAGTAGAGTTATCAAGAAATCAACTCCGCCAACATTCTAAGAGTTATCACAGAAAAAAAATAACTGGAAATATGTGTGTATATATCATTTCAAAGCTACTTTAGGCTATCTTTAAAAGTGTTTCGTTGTCCCCTCCTTATTACTTAAAATAACATGACACAATTTTTCTGTACATTTCTGTACACTTAAGAAAATTCCATTCCTCTTTTACCGCCAATACATATGTTGAAAATTTATGGAATTTTCTTCTCCCCCACTTCCTACCGTCCTTATAAATTTCACCAATGAGTCTGCTGGAGAGGATAAGCAATCATTTTAAAAATGGCTTCACTGAAACATTCAAGTTTTGTGTTTCCTTTAATTTAAAGCATAGTTAAATTCTACACTTTTTATTGTGAGAATAATTAAGCATAGTCTCTCTCTCTCTCTCTCTCTCTCTCTCTCTCTCTCTCTCTCGTTTATAATGTGAAAAAAAAAATCTATTTGAGTACCTAGAGTTACAGAGGCATTCCCCGCCAGAAAAAGTTGATAGTTATCTGCTTCATTCGAAACTGAAAACTGATCGTACAACTCGTATAGTTTGCTGCCGTTAACTAGAGTGATGGAAACGTAGAGATTTGAGTTCCTTCTCTTTGTTAACTGGTGGATGACGTCATTTCCTGTGAAACAGGAAAATTGAAGTTTAACTAGTATATGGCAAATCCAATTTAAATCAACATAAATGATGCGCTAAGGACGCGCTGAAATATACAAAGTCATGTATTGGTTAATGTTAAAGACATTTCGTCTTTAGAGCATTGTATATATTGCATAGATTTTGAATCTTGAAGTGTCAGAGAAAAAGTCTATCATACGAAACGAGTTCTTCTTTTCTTAATTTTTCCTCGTCCCTTGAATTCAATTACATGTACACATTTGAATTAAAACTGCTTACCATTAACATGTACAATTGAAAAATAGCAAATGTTTGTTCCTTCAATGATAGAAATAAGGTACTAGAGCAATAATCTTTTAAAATATGTTAATAATTACCGATCCAAAAATCCCGTCCCGCGTCACCGAATCCCTTTCTGTATTCGTCCCATGTTCTATCAAAGCTCACAGACCCATTTACACGCTTTTGAATTGCCTTCCAAATAAAATATATTAATTCAACAATACAGTGTACTTTTTGACAAGGATTTGAAAATTAGAAATTTTTCTTTAAAAGTCTTTTGAACGAAACAAATAAAAACACTAAATGCATGTCAAAATAGATAAAAATACCGTCCATCCCCCTCCCATTGTGTACATATCACAGAAAACCGTAGCAGGTCGGGCTCGGGATCCATACGGGTAAATCTCGTATACGCCCGATCGCGAATCATTATCGCCATTTTCACGGAGGTTCTTACAATCTCTAGGTAGATCTAAAACAGAACAAAGTCATTTGGATTATAATAATTGACTTTAAACGGTTTGAATGTTTTGATGCTGATCTGATATCCTAAACACCATTTGAATTGGCCGTATTTTTTTTATACTGAAACACAAAAGAAACGCAACATCCTTCTTTAGGGGGAAATGATTATGTAAAGTAAAGAATTTGTATATTAAAATTATGGAAATTTTCAATTTGGTAAATATGTATCGGTAATTTAACAGTTAACGATTTTCATACCATAACCGGAAGTCAAATTTGAGTCTGCTTAACAGAAATAAAAAATTGCATGTTTAACAAAACATTTGACAATATTATGGACTCTTAAGGATTTGAACTGTTCACCTTACAAGTAATGCAGCAATATTTCAATAAATAAAATCTTTCGTTTCCCGTAACGATGCTAAGGCCTCTTAAAAATGGCTTAAGTACGCATTTCCATTACTCTAGCTGGAAAATCTCAAAGTAAAGGTGATGGAGAGTTGATGATGCAAAAATACACTACATATGCATAAATGATAGTCCTTGGACCGGAAGTCCAAGGGTTACTACAATGCGCTACTTTAGAGAAAATTCGACCTAATCATCTGAAAAACAGGCATTTAAAAATGACAGAGAATAATTCCTTCGCTCCGATCTCGATATTGATTATCCTATTGTATCGTATAAATTAACCTGCAATTGTTTGTTTAGGACAGTCTTCCACGTTGTTTTTGTAGGGCTAGGAGGGGGTTGTTTTCAGGGACCTAGCAACCGACGTTGGGCAACTTTTCATTTTCCTTTTTTTTTTTTTTTTTTGCTTGTCAACTTTTTCAATTAATTAAAAAAAATTCTCTGGTTGCCCCCCCCCCCCCCACTTTCAAAAACGATGCTACGTGCCTGGTTTTAATAGTTATTCAAAATTTTTATCAAATGTCTTACGTTCTGAATTGTAAGTTTGGCCTTACTGTATTCATTTTTGAAAATCGTTAGATAAAAATTCAAACATTTGTAGATTACTGCTTGTTGCGGTTTTTTTTTTTGCGTGTCAGTATATTTCGTTAAAGCTGAACACGATTCGTTAAAGGAATGTGTCCGCCTTTTTTGTTCGGATTCTCGCTTTATCAGCACACCCTTTTATAACAGACAGGACTTGATCACAGTTCATTGTAATCAGTTGACACTGGTGTATTCGGACGTATGCTATACAACAACTGATAGCGACAATGATAACTTAATACTTCGTCTGTTGCAGGAAAGTAAGATTTCAAAGAAACCATTACAATTATAGTTGTACAGGTCAGTGCATGATACATGCAAACACAAATACATGTAACTGCAACAAAATGTAAACATATGTAATGCAAGATAACCAGAATGAACACGGGACAATAAAGCAGTCAGTTGTAACGAATTTGAAGAGTACATGCATACCCTGGTGTTAATGTATCTTAGATGATATCGAAAATTACATATGCCTATTAACGAGTTCAGTTTTACATTTTTGGATCGATAGATTTTATTTCGTTATATTACATAAACTAATTTTGTGAGTTATTAGCAAATTATTTTCACCTAAGGTTAAAAAAAGGAATATGACTGGAGTTCAAATGATACACACATTTATATTAGAAGTGTTAATGCTTTTAAATTTTATGTTTTGCATAAACCTAAATGACGAATTTATGATTTAAATAAAGCTCAGCGGAGATTCTCTTCCGATATGAGTCATTATCAAAAAGTCACAAACTAGGCGAATGTATAGTTTATATACCGTAAAGTAAGAAATTGTGTATGTATCAATCATATGTCATACAAAGATCACATTCATTAAGGAAATCTTGATAAAAATGAGAGATTTTACTCATAACAGTAAATCAATATTTTGTTAAATGTAAACCTCGTTTGGAACATTAATTTAGAGCAGCGCGAGCCTGATCGAGAACCCAATGATAAATATTATAAATATTTATAGAGTACATATATTCTTAAAACCTAGACAAATTAGGTCCGATTTCCATGTCCCATTCTCAAGACACAAGAACCTTCCGGATCCTCGCTGAAGATGGAAATCAGAGCATTTGATGTGAAAATGTTGATAGATTCCTATTCCGTCCCAGTCCTGTACATTCCACGTAGTATTCTGTACGTTCAGAATCCCACAGTCTGTAATGTGACGAAATGGCAATTTAAACCTGAAGGTGTGATAATAACATTTTGTATAATTCTTTAAACATTTTTTGGACTGAAAAGTGTGTGGAATCATTCTATGAAAGAGTATTTTCTAAGTTATTCAAATATTGACCCCCCCCCCCCCCGGGTGTGGTAGGTACTGTTAATGTATTACATTAAGGGATGTATTCTATTTAGCGATTTTGGTGGAAAGCAGAGTCCGCTAAATCAAGTTCACCGTAAAATGCCTTGTATATAATATGTTATTTCTAGCACATTCAGATAGCCTTTAATCAGATATAAGCTAACTTGTTATTAATTAATTATTAAATAATTTCCGCTAAATATCGTATTCGCCAAATATCATACATTTATGGTATTACAAGGAGAGATCTTGTGAAAAAAAACAGCATGACCAAAGTTACTCAGGTGAGAGTCATTGCCCATATCCCTTTTTTTGTTCAAGGTCTCTCAATAATTAAATCAAATAACGATTTTCCAAAGAGAATGTGCTGACGGCTTCATAATACCCTTTCATGTTGTTTATTTCCGGAGGTTCATCATTATTCATGAAGTCAACGATTAAAAGGAATTCAGCACTTCAAACTGTTAAAATGATGTCTTTTATTAAAGATTTAAGCTCACTTTTACGCAAGGTTACTTCGATTTGTTTCTCTGTGAAAATATTTGAAACTGAATTATTTATTACAATAGCTTGGCAGTTATACATGCATACATACCCATGGCAACCCCATGATAAGGCAGATTTTGAACGAAAACAAGAAATAAAACATTTAAGTTTGTATCCGTTAAAAGGTTAACTTTATTTTGATTTATCTTGAGTATTATGATTTTTAGGTCAACTGGGTAAGCGCTGGTGACATATTTTTCTCTGTTTTCGTCCGTTGTCGTGCGTTAACATTTGAACATTTTCAGCTTCTTCTCTGAAACCACTCTAACAATTTTAACCAAATTTGGCATTAAGCATATATGGGTGAAGGGGAAAAATCGTTAATTTCAAGGTGGCATGAGGGGTGGGGCCAAAACCACTAAAATTAATGCAATATTTAAAAATCTTCTTCTTACTCTTGGACATCAAGCAGTCAAATTGTTGGCATGATCGTAATTAAGAAATAAGATATCATTTTTAGAGTGTCATTGGGATAATACATGAAGTCGGTCACGTGATCAAATTCTATAACGCCCGAAGGGCGTTAAAGTATATTTGATCACATACCGACTTCATGTCACATCCCATTGACACTTTTAAAGTGATATCTTAATTCTTATATTTCTATTTCTATTCACATTACAGAGACAAAATCCTCTATTTTGACTTTGTTACTGAATGCAACATAACGTATAAATACGACGTCATATGACGTCAGAGTCAAGACTTTCCAAATGCCTCGTGCAGTTTGCTTTTCATTCGCAAGTAAGTCTGATTGTGTGACCGACTGCATGTCATTGAAAATTGAATTTCATTTTTTTAGTATTGTTAATAAGGGAAGACATTGGCAAATGTAAATATTCAGCATTGAGTCATCTACCAAAATAGCTTGCATGCCAAGGGTATAGTTATGATAAGCAATAGTGCCTTTTTCAAAATTGTGCATTTCATGGCCTCAGGTGTAAAATACGAACCAAATTCAATTGTTTGAAAATTGTATAATGCTCAGGTGACCTACAAGGCCCATGGGCCTCCTGTTGTATGAACGTTTTTTTTTAGACATTTTCAATGTATTTGTCTTGTTAATTTCACTCACTGACTGTTACTTCATGAGAGTTGATGTTTGCTATCTGTTTTCGTCCGTCGTCGTGCGTCGTCCATCGTGTGTTAACATTTGAACATTTTCAGCTTCTTCTCTGAAACCACTGAACCAATTTCAACCAAATTTGGTATACAACAACCACTGAACCAATTTCAACCAAATTTGGTACAACATCTTTAGGTAAAGGGGAACAAAAGTGATGAATTTAATGGTCTCCCCCCCCCCATCCCCCGGGGCCTGAGGGTGGGACAAAAACCACAAAAATTATTGCAATCTTTAAAAATCTTCTTTACTCCTGGAAATCAAGCAGGCAGATTGTTGGCATGAATGTAATGAGCAGTGAGTCCGTTACCAAAATTGTGAAATTCATGGCCCCAGGGTCAGGGGTTCTGGTGTTAGGGCGGGGCTCTATTGATCATATAGTGAAAATGCATTATTTCTTTGAAAAACTTCTTCTCTGCTCCTGGGTATCAAATACACTAACTTAGTACATCGTTATGATAAGCAAGAGTGCCTCTTCCAAAATTGTGAATTTTATGGCCCCAGGGTCAGGGGTTCTGGTGTTAGGGCGGGGCTCTTTTGATTATATAGTGAAAGTTCATTTATTCTTTGAAAATATTTTCCTTTGCTTCATGGTTTTATGCCAATGATCCAAGTATATATATTTATGATAAAGAACGGTGCATCTAGGAAAGTGTTTTTTATGCCCCCTGGGTCGGGGGGAGGGGGGTACATAGTCTGAAAATAAATTAATGCTTTGAAATCTGCTCTTTGGTATTAATCAACCATTTTATGATAAAATTTCCGAAATTTTGAAATATGTGGGCAATGGGTCAGTGGTTCCTTTGGAGTGAATTGCACAACTGGGTATAGAGTGGAAGTGCATTTTCTCTTTGTTACCCTGATCTACCTCTGGTTATTTAGAGAAAGCATGATAAGTTAATAATTATGATAAGGAATGGTGCCTCCTTCAAAATTGTGAATTGTGAATTTTCTGGCCTCTGGTTTAAAACACGAACCAAATTTAATTGTTTTAAAGTTGTTTCAGAATACTCAGGTGACCTATAAGGCCCGTGGGCCTCTTGTTTTTTTTTTTTAAATAGAAACTAGAAGTACTGTGAGTAATGAGCTCACTAAATGATATCCCCTGTCTCCCATAATGTCCATGTGTTGCTATAGTAATATGTAAAGAGGAATAACTCGTCCTATGAAATGTTATCCAGAAGCTTCTATATGTGACGTCATAGGTAAACATATAATGGCAACGTCCATATTTTGCTATGGGAAACCTAAAATACGTGTCGAATAAAAAAGTAAAATAGGAGGTGCACAATGGTAATATGTAATAAAGATTCTGTGAAAGTTTCATTAAATTTCACTCAATAGTATAAGAGGAGTTGCGGATAAGAGATAAAGCTTAACAGGCATACGGACGGACGGAAATTCCGATTACTATATACCCTCCCACTTTTCAAGCGGGGGTATAACTATATACCCTCCCACTTTTCAAGCGGGGGTATAAAAAAGGGCCAATTTCTTGACCTTTTTTCCAATGATAATCAGAGATTGAAGCTTTGTACAGGCATCTTTGGACAATACAATATTCTTTAAAAGGTATTTTTGAAAAAGATTTAAAATGTGTTAGTTCTGCGTTATTTTTTTTACATTAAAACTGCTGAAATGGTCGGAAAAATTTACATAATATAATCTCCAATTAGTGTCGATATTGTTCATGACCAGAGGGTATACATGTATTATGGCCTTGACCATTTCATTCCAGTACGATCAAGATAAAAAAAAGTAAGATTCATAATTGAGATTTTACCTGAGAAAACGCACCGGAATTCACCAAAAGGTTGAAGGATGCATTTTTCGTTGAGTGCGCAGGATGACGACGAGCAAGAACGTACGAGATCCTGGAAATTCATAACAATTGAGCTGAATTATTGCAACAAGGAATAACTGAATAATAATTTTTAGAATAAATTGAAACGCACTCAAGACCCCCCCCCCCAAAGAAACATATTAAAAATAGGTGTATTAAAGAAAAAAATCAAAAAGAGGACGTATACATGTACAACAATGTACAATAAGGAAACAAATACATGTTTAATAACAAAATCATATTTCGATGAGCATTTTCTTTGCTTGTATGTGTAATAAAAAAGTTCTGAAATAAAAATTTTAACGTTAAGGAATATAGATTTACCTTATTCCATCTCTCTATCGCTGTGTATATCCAGCCCGGACTTTGCCTGTACATCTCTGGCTCAATGGTGTGAATTTGAAAGTTAATTTCACAAAAATGTGCTCCTTTAAAATAATTCACCGATCTACACCTGGAAGTCATTAGGCATTCCGTAACACAGTCTAAAATACTGTATTTTGTGTAAGATTTAATCCCTCTACTAAGTAATCTGTATCCATGTTGAAATGAAGAAAAACTTTCTTTGAGATTTCCTCTGCAACATAAAATTATATTGAACAAGATATATAAGGAATACAGAAATTTGAATTTCTGCATGTCTCCTGGCTTTCACCATTAACAATGTTATGTGAGACGAATAAACACTTTTAAGATACTTGTTCTTGATGTGTTGCTGTGAATCAATATTTATATCATCAAACATGAATAAAAGATGTACAAAGTATTTCAGTTGAAGAATAAGTAATGCGTGTGTGTACGTCATTTTCCCTAAACGGATACCATGAAAAATAATTATAGAAGTAAGCAAAGAATTTATTTTCTTTGAAGTGAAACATAAGAGGGGGAACAGACAAATATATTTATTTCACAAGGACACAGCAAAGTAATGCATCTATCGTACAAAGCATATATATAAATCAGGACAGTCTTCGACATCGAGATCCCAAATTATGTTACTCCTGTTTTTTCACAAAGATAAAGTAACACACACACAATGACAATTAAGCGCGTTACTTTATCCAATCCAACTCTGTTGCAAAGGAAGAGAAAGACATTACATTGAATTAAAACGTATGTGGGCACATCCCATTAATTCTTTTTAGAATCTGTAGGAGAAGAAAGTGGTGCAGAAAAAATTACAAAATCCTTAATTTGCAGACTTGCATAAAAGAAATGTGCAGATGTACTTAACTGAGCCTCACACTTATTGATAAAGAGTATCTTTCCTACCAAAAAAGCTTGGCAAATGTAATTTATCAAGAAGATCAGCCGAATTATTTTGTGTATTATAACGTCAGTGAGAACTCTGAAATTCCCCTACTTTCACTCTCATTTTTAGAGTCTCCCGCAGACAGACGCATTTTGCCGGAAACGAATCTGACATGCCACCTCGAAATTTTAACCAAGGAAAGACAACTTGATGTGCTTTGATTTGAGGAGTCACTCACTGCTGAACGAAAATTAGGGACGTCGCTATGAGAAGAAACGTTAACATTACCGCCTATGGGAAAACAATTAGTGGACCATACCCATGTTACATATAATTGACTTTTCATTCTGCATAAAAAGTTTTCAAAACAAATTACAGTACGGAAATGTACCACGCTTAATTAACACTGTTGGTCAAAAAAATTTTGCATATTCATTTTAATCTCAAAATTGCCATATGAATATAAATATTTTATTAAAGAAAACAACTTTTCATTACCTATGTTGCCTGCGGGATATGGGTGGTCGTTGTTCAAAAATATATTTTGATTGCACTCCTTCTACCACTATGGAGTTTCCATTAAGAAAATATTTACATGGTCCAGATCGACACATAAAGGTTGATTGATTGATTTATATTGTTTAACATCCCTATCAAGAACTTTTTATTCATACGGAGACGCCACCACTTGCCGTTGGATAGCTGCTCGTGATCCTTGTCATGATCGGGAAATATCGGAAAAATCCATCGTCAATTCAGTGTGTATATACATTTATCATGACCTTACAATTAGTATGAAAAACGTCAGTCAACATTTGATTCATTGGTAAATTGTACGAGGGCCGTTCAAAAATTACGCGGACTGTGCTATTATTTACTCTTACAGACGTCATATAGTTATAAAATTTCACAGAAATATGTATCTTAAAGATTCCAATAAATTTTGGGCAAAATTTCTGTATTTTAAAAAAATTCTACTAAAATTATCGGTATGTTGATATCGTTGATGGAGAGGTACGGCGCACGACAAAAAAATTGAAGCAAAAGCATGCGGTTTCAAAAATTTAACTCATTGATTTTCTAAAATTGGCTATATTTTTCAACAATTTTCTCAAATGGACCTTTAAATTGTTTTATTATTATGTATTTAGATTTCGGACGTAATATTTGAAGTACTAACAGAAATATAGTGATTTTTCTTTGATGCAATTCCCGTGAAAACGTCTGTGAAAATGACGTCTCCTGAATTGACGGCGCACCACACTTTTGTTAAAATATGTGTAATGCTCGAGATATCGGCAACATAGATCCAAAATGTGCATAATAAAATATGTAGTAAAATAGGTTACTCGTGACATTCGCCCACAAATAGCAAATTGAAATTTTAGACAGTTAGACCTCTGTAAAAAGGCTATACCGGAGGACGGGAAGAAGATTATAGAAGAAAAGTTAACTTTATGCGGACTGTAAAGAACGTGATTGAGAGTTACCAATATCACACTATATGACATAAGTAGTTTTTGGTTTTAAAACAAAAAAAAAAGAATATTCTTTACTTGTTTAATAGATTTTAAGCTTGACAAGAAATGGTGTTTTGATGTTGAGTAGATAAGGTAACTCAAACTATACAGGTACTCAAGGGAAAATGTTGAGAAAAAGAAAGCTCAATCACATATTTTTTATAATGCTTGTGACGTCGAAGATTTTGCTGCGCCGTGACTTAATGGTATGTCCTGAAAAATCACTCAAAATTAATACCAATTTACAACATTTTGATATGAAATTTTGAAGACCATATAAGTAAAGATTCTTTTATATTATTTGTGAAGTTTTGGCCGATTATGTCGTCAAATATTTCTTCTGTGCAACAAGTCCGCGTAATTTTTGAACGGCCCTCGTATTTACTGACAAGGTCATTGTATCGATCAGAAAACGTACGAAATTATGATTTAAACGAGACTGCTGATATTCTTGTTTCAACTTGTTTGTCAATAATTTACCTCGATTTAAAAATTGTTCGAAGATACATAGTGTATAACAAAAACATTTCCTTATAAGTTAAAATAATAATTCCAACTAAAATACTGCGTGTATTCTACTTTAATTAATGATTTTTTTAAGTATCAGCATTCATATTAACGCCCGACTAGTAAGTGTTAAATGGAAAATATTGAGATAACGAACAGTATTCAAGATCAAACGCGTTTTGATTTTGCTTATTTAAGTTTTAGTAGCCATAATGCATACAAATATTTAAGTATTTTTTTTTATTCGAAATTATTATTAATATATTTTCTGTTTATTTTCCCCATTTAACAATTGAATAAGAATGCAATATTTTTTCATAAGTAGTATATGCAAGGTACAATTGAAGTGTAATTTGATTTATCAAATTAGAACTGAACTGGATCAAAGAAAAGATAATTGCTGCAGTCCTCCAAGCAAACAGACTGTCCAGCTAGATGTATTATTTCTAAGAGCTGTGCTGGAATGATCGAAGTTTATGGTATTTTATTTAATATTAATTTTATGTATATATATTATATAGATAAGTGGATTTCATGACGTTTAATTAAGTTATACGCCTCTAATAAAGTATTGCACAAGAATATAATGTTAAGCATAAAGCGACCTTGTCATATCTATATGATGATTTCAACAAATCTGAATTTATCCAATTCATGAAAAATTTATCTTTTCTTGTTTTTTTTAAAGAAAATCTTTAAATGACCATACTTTTTTTAAAGACAATCTTTAAAAATATTTTTTTCTTAATAACTGATCATGAAATCCACTGATTTGTGACATTGATATCAAAGCTGTTTAATGTACCGTGCATATAAGTTTCTTCAATCCATCTTCCTTGGGTTATATCAATTACTATGAGTGATCAGAGGACGGATTATTTTTTCAAACTATGTATTGGTAAATTTAAGGTCTAATTAAGACGTCAACAGGCCTTATAGGTCACCTGAATATCATGCAACAACTTTCCAGTAACTGGACTTGGTTCATGTTTTAAACCAGAGGCCGTGAAATTCATAATTCTGAGTCAGAATTATCACTGGCGCAGTGGTTAGAGCGTCTGCTCTAAGAGTCGCGAAGTAAGGAATCAACCCATACGTCGCGACTTCGAATCCCACTGTGGGACGTGGAGACCGGTCCTTCGAATAAGCCGAGGCCCCGTGTCGCAGTAGGTGCTGGCACGAAAAAGAACCCTCACTGCTTATAGGCCATGAGTGCCGACCATAGTACAAAATTTGTAGCCCTCCACCGGCAAGTGGTGGCGTCTCTGAGTGAAAAATTCTCCAGAGGGACGTTAAACAACATGCAATCAATCAATCAGAATTTTGAGCAAAGGAATAGATTTAAAGAGAATTAATGCTTTTTTTCACTATATAATCGTTAGAGCCCCGCCCTAACACCAGAACCACTTACCCTGAAGCCATAAAATTCACAAATTTGGAAGAGGCAGTCTTGCTCATCATAACTATGTACTTAGTACCCTGGAGGCATGTCAGATGAATTAAAAGACAACCACTGCATGGAGCCCTAGAGTTATGAAATTCTGAGAAGGGAATTGAGGAAAGAGCTTAACTTTTGAAAGGCATTATTAATAATTCTTTCGAAAAAGGTTAACGGTTTATGATGCAAATAACTACCTGCAAATGGAAAACCATGAAATTCGAAAGATATAAAACAAAGTTATAAAAATATTTGTGATTAAAAATATATTTCCTTCTATTCACAATCCCTCATTTGACAAGCATTTACTGGCACTATACACATGTAATTTGATCATCCGTCGAGAACTTAATTCTTCCCCGGGATGTTTCGCATCGATTCTGTTTCGCACTAAGATGGTACGCGCCAGGATGATTCGCGCCGATTTCGCTGTGAAACATCACATGTTTTATATTAAATATTCAATCACGTTTTGATCGATTTTAGCTTTACTGGTCTGAGACCAAAAGAGCTTCTGCGATAGTAAGGTGTCCGTCTGTCTAGCTGTCAATCTGTCTGTAAACATTTTTTTTCAAAATGCTACTCCTCCTACAGTCATTGCTTCGTATGGCTGTGGACCCCTAACCCGACCTCGGTATGCCTTTTTTCAATATCTGTGAATCCGCTACTATGTTATAGCTTTGAACTTGAAAATGCAGATGGGTTCGCGTATTATATCTGTTTGAAAGACAGTGAAAAGGTAAAACATTCAAGCGCGCCAGTGCTTCCTGTGCTTTACATCCTGTATTTAGGTTTATGTTTGATTTTCGTTTGATCCGCCGCATGTAATTGTAGTCTCTAAATCAAATACAATGTAATATACGATCTGCGTATGCTTAGGGCATTGGCTTAATTCTGTACTTTCAGTGAA